CCCCAAAACCCCAAAACCCCAAAACCCCAAAACCCCAAAACCCCAAAACCCCAAAACCCCTATTTGCTTTGGCAAAATTGAATAAATTTATTGAAATGTCTTATTTGCCCCCTCTTTCATACTATCCAGGGCTTGCTCATTCATGGGATCCGACCATGGCATTTACCGAAGAACTGAATAGGTACTGAAGCATCATCCTTCTAAAGTTTTCTTCTTGAATAATTAAAGTAATCATTTACGTTATAGGGAATCAAACAACAAATGGGTACAAATTTGCAATAATTTCCATAGAAAGACAAGTTTGATCAACTAGTTCAATCAGAGCATGAAAAAGAAATTAAATAAAATTCAAAAACTTCAAAATGTAAAACTTCCCAAGACCAATAAATAAAATCAAAGATATCGAAGACAAGATCAAGAGTGAAATGGACGATATAGAGAAGAATACCCATCATGTAAGTCTGACGAACTGATAATTTAGCTTATGAATCAACAAGCATTAGCGAATGAAAATGCTATGCTCAGAAGCAGGCTTAAGAAAGCGGGAGTTGATCGGATTCACAGAGAGAACCAAAATATTTACGACAGTGCTCACCTGACTTTAGAAAATAGAGCACATGCTTATCATCACGGATATTGTATGAATAATTTCTAAACATAGATCATCCTCATAACCATTGGTACCCATCGTACGTAGAACCTCCACCTGTAATTGAAAAAGAAGTAATAGTCAAAAAGAGTTCTTGCAAAAAGAAACATCACTGAAAATCTCCGAAGTAGAGTTCAACTTCTAATTTTTCTAGTTTGAGATACTCGAGAGTTAATGAACTGTTAACCTCTCCTCGAAAGCCAAGAGGGTACGTCCTTGATCTAAAGTATAGGTTTTCGATCCAGAGAGCATCAGATTATGGAGTCTTGAATAGATACAAAACTATTTACGATGCAATAAATGGAACTCCAGTCAAACATAGGAGTAAACCAAGAGATTACTATGATGTTTAGATTTCTTATATATATTCATTCAATTTATCAATGAGCAAGAGGGGTTTTGGGGTTTTGGGGTTTTGGGG